TTCTATCTATTACGTAAACGATGGGTAGAATGTTCGTGACATATAAAAAGTTAAAAACGATTTCGAGTATCTCTGTAAAAGAAAGAGAAGGAGGAGAATCACAAAAATAAGATTCACTTTAGTGATTTAAAAAAAAAATAAAAAAAAAAATCGAAATTTAAAGAGAATTAATGTAAAATCCAAAAGTTTTGGGATTAGAAAAGAATGTTGGCTTAAAGAAGTGAGAAATTGAGTTCTAGAAAGAAAATACTTACAAACTAAAGTTGATTAATTGTTTAGCTCGCTGTGCTATATTATTGTTATGATTTAGTTTATATATATTTGATTATTTGAATAATTATATATATATTTTTTTGGTTGAAAAAAGAAGTCGGAGAAAGAAGATTAAGTAGATCAGGGATAACAAAAGTCAACTATTTCCAAACAAGTAAGAGTGTATGACTATGACCAAAATTCTAAAGACTTTCTAGTGGTCAGATCATAATAGATACTGCGACTAGAATATTGTATTTTATACAACTACGATTGAATCATACTAAGAAAAGTATTCACATTAAACGAAAAGTCAAATTACAGATTAATTTATGAAACGTTTACTCTTAATAAATGAGTTCGATAAAGACATTGGACCTCTTCTCCTTCCACAAGCCTTTCTACTGCATCAAAAGAAAGACCAATCAACATTAGCGTTTTTTTTTGTCTTCAGAACAATTTGTGGGTTTGCAGTTTTGAGATATGAATAATGCAGTGCAAACAGATTTTTCATGGTTTTTAGCTTTCGGTAATACTGTGTAATCTGAGGATCTCTCCCCGAGAAAATTGAGTTTCTACAACCTTATTTAGGCGAAAAGTTGAAATAAGCCAAGGCTGAGTAAAAATCTTTAATCTATCTTTGAAGATATCTCTCGTCGTCTGCAGAATTTGAGACAAGTCAAAATGTTTATAATATATATATGAATGCAATCTTGCATTCCCTTTTATCAACGATTGTTTCAAACGCAATTTATAGATTTTTTTTTCCTAATATAAAACATTTTCATAATTAATTTTTAATGTACTCATATAGAACAAGCAAAACTCGTAAAAACGACGCATCTAGAACATTAATAATAGAACCTTAATTGAAAAAACAAACTGGCTTCACCAAATCGGGTATTGTCATCATTTTGTAGGATTTGGTGACAACATAGCTTCTTCGTTTGTCTGCCGGAATGTGCAAGTAACATAAATACTTGCGAATCGCACACTGTTCTTTCGTAATTAAGAACAAACGATTGGGCCTTAAAATTTAGTTTAGGCCTGGACTAAGCTCATATAGTCTTAATCTTCTTATTCTTACGCAGCCAGAGGGTTCGTGAAAATTTAATGTTTATAACTTGTCATATTTGATATTTCTATACAAAACACATGGCTCATGCAACACAAAATGTCGTCATATGGTACACGTCAAATTCACTATTCGTCTTATTATCGTATCTTCACATTCTAAAAAAATTGTATTCCTAACGCTTCTTCTAGCTAAGCTTCAGAAATTTTAAAAATAAAAACGAAGATAATCAAATTCTATTATCAAAAAAAAAAAAATAGAGAAGTCACGGATCAGAATAATGATTTTTTAATAGCCCCGGCAACAGAGGGTGAAGTGAGAGCAGCACTTTTTATGATGCACCCGGAGAAGGCACCGGGGCCAGATGGTATGACGGCTTTGTTTTTTCAGAAAGCATGGGCTACCATTAAAGTAGATCTTTTATGTTTGGTTAATTCTTTTTTAGAGGATGGGAATTTTGACAAACGGTTAAATACGACAAATATTTGTCTTATTCCAAAAACGGAAAGACCGACTCGGATGACGGAACTACGACCTATTAGTCTCTGCAATGTTGGTTACAAGATTATATCAAAGATTATTTGCCAAAGACTAAAGACAGTACTACCAAAACTGATCTCGGAAACACAATCAGCTTTTGTAGAAGGACGGTTAATTTCGGATAACATTCTTATTGCACAAGAGATGTTCCATGGGTTACGAACTAACCCATCATGTAAAGGAAAATTCATGGCAATTAAAACTGACATGAGTAAGGCTTATGATAGAGTGGAATGGATTTTCGTTGAAAAAGTTTTAACCAAACTGGGGTTTTGTGAAAAATGGATTAGTTGGATAATGTGGTGTATCAGTACTGTCCAATATAG